TCTTCTATGGAAGAAGACCGTCCCCTGGTCTTCTATAGGAGAAGACCACCGGCTGTTCGTCTATAGGAGAAGACCACCGGCTGGTCGTCTATAGGAGAAGACCAACATCTGGTCTACAGGAGAAGACCACCGGCTGGTCTTCCATAGAAGAAGACCACATATCAGAGTTCTGTAGATGGGGAACACCTGTGGGTCTACCTTATGATCTCCTATTGAAGGGACCTATTTGGATTTCCCTTTTCTATTCCAATACCCACTTCTAGCCATAAATCTCATATGTGCAGCATTCCTTCCTATATCCTTTTGTACTTCCGGTTTAATAATCACCTCCTCAGCCCCCACCTTTCGTGTTGATGAGGTTATTAAATTCTAGTTGATTGTTTGTCTATCCCTTCATGCCTGTAGCCCAAGCAGGATACTCAGGCAAAGGCCTTGTCTACATTTCTAATGTTCCCGGTTATAGACAAACAAATCTATGGTTTGTTAAGCGTAAGCAATCCTGTTTGCTTTTTTTAGCTTCAGGAGACAAGAATGGTAAAAATTTTAGTTGTTTTACACCCAGCCGGACACGGAAAGGCAACATCGTTGTGAGGAGCAAACAAACGTACGACTTGTGTTGTCAATGTTTTCAGAATTTAGTTGCCGTCTGGGCAAGATTACAAAGACCAACAGAGACAAGTTGTGTTCCAAACCAACCATCATCATCATCATCGGCATTATCGTCATCATTTTCAGCGTCATTGTTATGAAGGTCCCATACAACAGACAACAATTTCCCAGGGTGTTAGACAACAAAAACAACAACTACATCTAACAAACGAAAACTGCGGACAATGATAAACCAGCTAAACACTCTCTCTCTCTATCTCTTTCTCCCTCTCTTTTGTTGAAATGTTGCAATTTTCTTCCTCATTTTCCATGCTGCTGTTGTATTTTCATTCTTTTTGTGTTTGTGTGTGTGTGTTTAGAGTAAACAACCGCCCTGGGCTTATTGTTGTTAAATATTTAATCTTTCTTTTAGTGGATTTACTATTCCAAGATGCTCCAAAACTTGCCATCATCAGTGGACCACAATGCACTTGTAGTTGCTGTGTAATGACAGTTGTTCTGCCGTTGCGACCACAAAAGCCCTCCATCCCCTTGGCAGCTTTTGCGATTGTTTATCATTGGCATTAAGTAATTTAAAATTCTAAATATGCTCTCTGCGAGAATTGTCAAATCCATTTGGAATTAGGTTAATGCCATAAAGAATATAGACAGATAGATATTTATTTAAGCAATAGTTGAAAATTGGGATATCTTTGGGAGGAAATTAAAGAAGAGGATCGCCTTAGATATTAGACAAAAAATCATAATTGATTTTGTCAACACAATGCCATATTAGAATCTCAATATCAGTTTTATAAGAAACAACTAAAACGAAGGTCTGATTTGTAAAGAGGAGAAGCGTTGGTCAAGTTTCGGTATCAAATCAATTCAGAGCTTCTGTTAATGCTGGAGAACCGTAGTGTGGTTGGGTGTGCGGTGTGAAATTTTGGTCTTCAATAAACAGGCATAGCCCCGTTCTCTCCCATAACTATGAGTCGTCCATTAGACAGACACTCTCCACGTGTCTCTGTTCGGGATTACAGTTTCGCTCAGTGCAACTAATTTCTTTTCAGGTACTACGTCAGAAATGGTCTCATCTATTGAGTCACCCATAGTAACCTGTTTCATGGTATGTTGTGTGACTTTTATTGATTAGCTCTTCCATCGCTTTCCGCCTAAAGGCTGTCTCATACCTAATTTGTATTTTTATTGGGTACACATAAAGAATTATCTTTAAAACCCTGGTTGGTGTAGTCCTCATTGCCCTGCTGATACATAGACAACATGTTCTCTGTAGATTTTGCAAGATTATGATATTACCATTTTTATTCATTGCTGTCCACCGGACTACTGACGCATATGTTAGAAAAGATCAAGTCACTCTTTTGTATAAAAGAGTAATTTTTCGGTAATTCCCCATTTTGAACCTATTGGTCTTCTACAGATTGACCAGCAGCTGTAAACTTTATTTTCTATTTCGCTGATGTGGTCTTCCTTAATATGTTTATTATTCAGGATTACTCATTCCGGAAGACTAGTTTGGCTAGGTGACCATTTTTATCTTCCTAGTGCAAAGACATAGTTAAATTTTTCCGGGTTTACATTTAGTCCTCTTGACTTGTCTCAGTTGTGTTGATTGATTCGGTCCTTCTGCACAGTAAATTTTGAATTCTCTGGAAACTTTACGAATTCGTCGAATTTGAATTAAAGATATTATAATCCAAAGGAATCATTTCCATGGGGGCCTTGGATATACGTAATATTCCCTCATTGAAGTATCTATCATTTAAATATATGTAAATGAGCTTCGTTTGGTTCCAGATATTTATGTACATACGCACACTCCGACATACTGAATTAATAACAATTGTATTGCTAATAATTCCAGTGTAGATCCTTAGTTCGGAATGTATTTTTATACCCTCAGCCATATGGATAGAGAGGGTATATATATCATTTGATACGGCCAAAACGTACTTTATCGATATAACGGTTTTAGATCATAGGTCTCTTTGGACCAAATCTGTTTCAGAACATTTGATAACTCTAGAAGGGAGTTGTCTAAATTTGGTACATCGTAATAATATCAAACTTAGATCGAGTTCGGAGATAGGCAATATAAGTCCACTGCTTCTGGTACCTCCCTCACAAAAGGTAGAACATTTTAAAAAATATTTTACTGCCAAGAAATGGAAAGGATACTCTGATTTTGCTCCAACTTTGCGAATCCTAATATTTGCATCAGTGCTAGGTCAGATGCGAAAATGGACGACATCGGTCCACTCCATGAAGTACCTCCCTTACAAAGCGTCAAAATTTTGAATAAGTATAACTCTTATAAAATGTAATGTAATATTTTTATTAAACCAAGGTCTGGTGTGAATGTGGATTATATCGGACCATTCCTTCTGGTAGTTCCCCCACAAAGGGTCAAAGTTTTGAATAACAAAAACGATCATAAAATCCGAAACACGCATCCGATTATCTTCATATTTCGCACATCCCATTATTTCTACTTACACAAGACCTGCCGTGAAGATGGAATGGGATACCAAAGACACCCCAAAAGGGTCAAAATTTTGAATAACCATGAAGCTCATAAAACGCGAAATTAACATTCGATTCCATTCAGACTTGGCACATCTCAATATTTGCACTAAAACAAGATCTGTTATAAAGATGGTAGAGATCGGACCATTTCTTCTTGTACCTACCCCACATACAGAATGAGATGAAAAAACTGCAACCATCTTCAGACTGCTGTCATTTCTAACAGACTCGTCCGACAGCTGTTAAAATTATTCCAGTGACAGCTCATTATATTGTTTACAAGCGTATGAAGGCATTTTGGTGAGAATTTTCCAGCGGGATGGCGTGATTTCTTTCTATATTTGACTGGAAAACTAAAGTGGCTATGGTTAGAGCACTCCAGCATTTAAATGTGAATAAATCTTTTGTGTCTCGTACCATCGCTCGTTACCGTGATACTGGTAGCGTAGTCCGACGTCAAGGAAGTGGACGAAAGAAAATATCAACATCAGCAAAAATGGTTCGGAAAGTAAAGAAGCGACTTGATCGAAACCCGCGTCGCAGTGGCCGAAAAATGGCCCGTGAGCTGAATATATCGCAATATACAATTCGGCAAATATTAAAAAACGAGCTCGGGATAAAGCCATTGAAATTCCAAAAAGTGCAAGAACTTACACCGCAACAGAAAGAAAATAGACTCTAAAGAGCTAAAGAGTTGCTTTGCTTGGCCGAAAGTGGTGAACTGCCGAATTTGGGTTTCTGTGATGAGAAAACTTTCGTTGTCCAAAGAGGTTAGCTGAAATGTGCACTTTCGGATGGCCACCAGAACTCAAGCGCCGGCCACTGCGATGGTGTTGGCCATAACAGCGGGGAGCGACCGCTCGTATTAATCGACAGTGTCATCAGAATAAATGCTAAATATTATCGCGAAAATATTCTGGATGGTGTATTAAAGCCTTGGGCACGCATTCAGCACCCAAGAATGGTTACAAAATGAGGTTCGTCGCTTCATTTCCAGCGCACAATGGCCACCAAAATCTCCGGATACCAATCCGTTGCACTATTGTGGTTGAAGTATTTTGGAAAGCAAAGTCAGCACTAGAAAATACCAAAGTGTAGATCACCTCAAGCAAGCGCTTCGCCGGGATTGGGCCAAAGTATCGCAGAGCAACATTCGGGCAGTGTGTGATGGTTTCATTGGCAGTTTGAAGGCCATAATTCGTGCCAAAGGTGACCAATTCGAACAAATCTAAACTTATTCTAAAATTTGATGCTATTTCCGACATTTTCTGCTTTCATTCAATAAGTTAAAAAAATAATAAAAATTATGGCGTTTGACTTTGTTGCAGTTTTTTTTATCTCACCTTATAATTTTACTGTATTTAAAAATCAAAAAATTAAAAAAAATATTTCTTAAATAATAAGTTATAAGGAATTCACACCGCTTAGATCAGTCTGGGCCACCCTGTACATTTCATATAGTTTTTTGGTGTAATGCAATGAAAATCCCAAACGGAAATCCGATAAAAATATTTTATATTCTGCAAAAATCCGAAAACGGTAGCCTTCTCTAATCGATTTTCGTTTTTATTATTTAAACTCTTCCAATTCGATCCAAAATATCAGCTTAATGGAAAATTCAATTATTGCATACAAAATTACACAAGCCTGCACAGAACTAAATATCTTCTGGCCATCTAGTTACTGCTGCTAATCACAGCATCATCTATCAAAAAAAAGTTCCTGGTTTTTCTATTCTCTCCCACTTTCAAGTTTCCACCTCATCACCCCCCCCCCCCCCCCCATCATCTGCTGGATGTTGTTAATCAACTTTAAACGTTGACTCTCATCCGTTGGAGTAATTGTTCTTAGTTTTTACTTACCACCGGCAACATTCTGCAATATATCCAAATGCTCGGCACCGATATAATCGCCGCTAGATGCTTGTTGAGCATGTGTTGCGGACAAATGACTTCTTCGACTTAAGCTACCCGTCATGGATGCTGACGGTGGTGGTGGCATGTTAAGCGCTGACGTTGCAGCAGTTCCATATGCATCATAGTAACCCATGGAGCTGCCAGAAACAACTTGTGGCATAACGGCAATATGATGTTGTGGTTGTTGTACACAATTTCCACCCGTCGTGCTGCTATTGCTAAGTCGCTCTCCGGCCACATTGACATTTCCACCCAATATGTTGCAGCATCTCATGGCTCGTGGAGATGTTATTGATGTCAATGTCGCCGAAGTTGACGACGATTGTGAATTGCCGGGATGTGGATGATGCTGATGTTGGAACTGTTGCTGCAAACATGTCGTCATATGTTTGCCGGCCGACTTGCGTTCCAAGGTACTGCAGGCCGAAGCCATGGGATTGCCATTGTTAAGGGTTATGGTACCCATGGATGTTGGTGGCGGAGGTTGTGTCGGGCCAATAAACGTCTCCACACTTGCCACGTGATGATGTTCCTGTTGTGAGGCTGCTGTCGCCGCCAGCAAAGGCAACATTTGACAACGTGGAGCTGTGGAGATTATGGTTAAGCCCGGCATTTGACATGATGCCGCTCCAGCAGCCGAGGCAGCAACAGCACTCAACTCCAATTGATGTCGTCGAGCCGGTGATGGTGGTGTTTTGTGCATCAACGGTGGTGCTGAGCTGCTAAGTTCAGATTCTTTTTCATGATTTGTGTAAACTGTAAGGGAGAGATGAGAGAGGGGCAGAAAGTGTAAGTGGATTCGGTTAAGTGACCAGTTGAGAAATACTTACAACTAATTGGTGTATTAATGGTCCCTGTACAGTAGTTATCATCTAAACTTGTTTTACTGGAACTGAGTTTCTTTTTTAGATTATCACTCGACGAGTAGCGACCCAAGGCACCCTTGTCATGGCGCAAAGGTGATTCAGGTTTTATCACAAAACAGCAGAGTATGGTAAAGCCCTGGAAATTAAGAGAAAGATAAACTATTTTTTAAAATGGAACACAAAAATATGGAAAGCTAAATTCAATGAATGAAAAATATTTAGGACAAATATTTAGCCTCAGGTAATAAAATGTGTTTTATTCAAGTAACGTGGACAATATAAATGTCGTATTCAAATGACGTAGATGAGGAAATTTGGACACTGAATATCTTCCAAAGTCATTGACAAATTAATGCCCAGATTAATTAGTGCACAAAAAACTTTGTACCTACTTTTGAGTGCGGTTGAGATGCTGGGAAAATCGAGCTATAAACAATAAATATTCTAAAATTACATATTTCCCAGCCGCCGTAAAATATCACATGTGAAGGGAATCCTGCAATGTTCTCCATTCAATATTAGAGAAGATAAGAATAATTATGTGGCTGCGATTAGGTTAAGTTAGATTAGTTTCAGTAGCACTTAAGGAACATATTTTTAAATGAAAACTAGAATTTAATCTACACCCAAGCGAAGCGGTTGTGTTGTCTATTCCAGTCGAGCCGAATAGAGAATTGAATTGACAATCGAAGAAGGAGATTGGATTCTATTCTCATTTACAGTTACGTTAAAAAGAGGCGCGAAACTCTCGCCACATATTGGACATACACTTTAGCCAGTATAGGCCTGTTGTGCGCTCTAGACTAAGTAGTTGTTGAAAGAAAACAGCAATTTACACTCAATTATATTAGGAATTCAGGTGCCTTAATAAACTTCCTTAATTGTTTTATTCAATTTACCATGATCTGATTATAGTCTGGTATGTAGTCGATCCCTAAGGATTGGGATCTGATATTTACAAACGCTGGGTATGGACACAGAAAATTCTCCAACGTTCCATCTTCCTCGCATGCCTTGCATATGTTGTTATCTGCATATCCTATCTGGTACAGATGAACTTCTAGGCCCAGATGCCCCGTTAGGAAAGTTTTTCGTGTGTACCATATACGTCTTAATTGTTCCATAGGGTTATGTCGGCGTTTTTTGCCCATGTTTTTAACTCTAGACGTGAGGCATTTAGCGGCTTTGGAATGTCCATGCTTACTGTTGCTAATTTCCCACCCGTTTTGGGTGAGTCTCGTTACCTCTAATTCCCGTATGACCGGGTTGCCATATAATGCGATCTGAGACGTGTTAAGGATAGTTGTTTATTGGATTTACATATTCCAATACAGTTTTGGATGTTATAGCTTTTATGGCGATCTTACTGTTCGTTAGGACGTTTACGGCAGCAGGTCTCGTATTGGCATTATGCCAGTTCAGACCCTCTGTAATCGCCCGGACCTCCGCTTGATGGATCACAATATGATCGGGCAAGCGGAAATAGATTACGGTATATGGGTCTTCAATAAAAAGCCCCAGTTCCGCTCTCCCCTAGCATTGAGGAATTTGCGATATAATTCGTTGACCGACGAGTCTCTGGTAGGATTTAATGTTTCGCAGCTGCAATTAATTTAGGCATCCGATCCGACACAATGTTTTCCATTGATCCTCCCGTCGATACTTTTAAACATTTTTGATGGTACGTCAAGGGGCCTTTAATTATCCACTCATCTGTCGCCCTGGGCCTTATGACCGCTTCATATCGTATCTTCATATTTCTTGAGTGTACATATAAAATTGTCTCTAAAGCCCTAGTTGGTGATGTCCTCATTACACCGCAAATGCTTAAGCAGCACATTCGTTGGAATTTTTGTAACATTTTAGTATTCAATTGTTTATCCATAATTGTCCAGCAGACTGCTGATGCCTATAATAGGTTTAATGACGCTTTGAACAGCCAGTGTGTCATATTGGGATTAAAACCATTTGGATTGAGCCTATAGTCCTTTTGCACGTTGCCCACAATCTATAAGCTTTATTTCCTCTTTCTTAGATGCAGTCTCTCCAAGTAAGTTTCCTATCTAGGATTAAACCCAGATATTTAACATTATTGGAAATGTTGATTGACTTTTTCAGGAAGACTGGCTCATCGAAGTGCCCCAGTTTTGTTTTCCTAGTGAAAATACATATCTATATACATATCTAAGTTTCCTCCGGGTTTACGTTAAGACCTCTTGGTCTTGTCAAGGTGAATGCAAGTTTCTGAGCCGTATCCTCCTTCAGCACAACAAATTCGAGTTCTTTCCCCTCAGAAGTATTATAACGTCGATTGCATAGCAGATTGGTTCAAATCCTTCTTGGTAAAGTTCTTAAAAGACTGTTTTTGATAGTAACCTCTAGGATAGGTGATAAAATCCCTCCCTGTTCCTTGACCAACTCTGTCCCTTATGTTAACGTCCTACAGCCCGCAACATCCATCCATATTCCTTATCATATGCTTTATCCATGAGGGTCCAAACACGATTACAAATACTACATACACCGGCGACAGGAGTGCTTGATCGATCTTCGAAGGCCGAGCTTTTCCTTACAGAGTGGCAAATTTTCTTTTAAAATATTAAGGTACATAGTCTGATCCATAACACCCTCAATAAAATGCAATACACCAGGTCCAGAGACAGAAAATGAACCCCACACCATTACTGACCCACCATCGTGCTCAATGTAGTCTTCATATTTTTGGCAAGGAACGCTTCATTTGGCTTTCTCCATACATAAGGTCTGCCATCTGAACCAAAAAGGTTGAATTTGCTCTCGTCCGTGGACAGCTCATTCTTCCAAAATGAAAAATCTTTTGATATATGCTCCTTGGCAAATCGCAATCTTACTTCTTGATTTCGCTTGCTGATTAGAGGTTTTTGTCTAGCTCTTCTTTTGTATTGTAATTCGACTTATGCAGTATATTTTTTATTGTTTGAGGGTAACACACATTTCCCAAATCCTTTTCAGCAATTCTTGCGAGCTTCAGTGCACTCAAAAATGGATTCTTTTTGATCTGCTGAAAATTATACTTTTCACCACTCAAGGTAAATATTTTATTATTTGCCGCTTTTGACTCATTTTTTAAATATCCATCTGTTTTGATCCGTTTTATGATGTACTGAACTATATATTGGCTTCTATTAACAATCTTAGATATCTCACTTAGCGATTTATGGCTTTTGTAATGTTAAATTTCTAAATTTCTCACTTCAACAGTAATTTGTCCTCGTTGTCTTCCCATTTTTTATACGTTTTAGTGTTTACCTCAGTAAATTACACAACACGTGAAAATCCTAAATTAGCTTTTAGGGACTTCCGCTAATACATTTTCCAATAATCACGTGAAGTTGGACGCAGTTTGAAATAGGGTTGCCGTATAAATGTAAGCTGTACGAGTTTAGCTTTTGCATAGAAATTTGGCGAGTTTTAGAATAAATGTCATTATTTTGTTAAATAAATAAAACAGTAAACTTTTTTTCTACGGCTAGTTCTAGCACCCTATACACTAATAAAAAATATAGGTTTCTTTTGGTAGTTAATTTGATAACAATCATATATTGCATGAAAGAAAATCGTTTGCTTAGTGTACGAGATTCGCTTGGAGCTACTGTATATAATTAAAAGCCTACAGCTCCACCGTAGCCTCAGTTAAGTATTATATAGATAAACTTAGAAAAAAAGACTTATGCTAAGTAAAGATATAAGGAAATATTGTTAACCATACGATTTTGACTTATTGTTTAAGGAATTGATGAAAATGTATTTTTTATTATAAACCGACGATTTCACTTAGGGATCTCTAGCTTGACACACCGATAATTGTCGATAACACCATGCCTCATTAAGGTAATATGTATAAATAGACGCTTCATTAATGATATTCACCATTCGGGTATCCAAATGCTATAAATTTATTTTTAAAATTGGTTACTTTTTATTTCTTTGTTATATATTTTATATTATCTGATTATGTCTTCTCATAATTATCACATTACCTATTTCAAACTTTAATGCAGCATCAGTTTCATTACTCGTGAAACTTAATACCCTCCCACTTCACAAAACGTGTATAAGTTTTGAGACAAAATGCCATTAAACTTTTATTTCATTCATGTGGATCTAGTTTTATGATCCAAACTGTTGATATTTGTTGTTTTCGTTTAGAGAATTTTCAGATAATTAAACTTGTTTGTCACGTGTCCGGAGGGGTGGAGCAGCAACTGCGAATTTGCAATGTGATGACAATTTGGAGTTTTTCGAATGTTTCCCAAAGGGAATTTTTGTCTACGTTTTCCACTTTTTGTCATATAAAACATGACAAATTTTTGATGGGAATGAACACAACATCAAATCAGAAGTGGGGGCCTAGAATGAGACTTTATTCGTACTGAACTTCCAGGAAATTATGTCAGTACTTATTTTATGTCAATGTTATCGTTTGTTTGTTTTTTTTTTCAATATAATTTTTATTTAATTATTGGTTTTATATACAATTTATAACACGTTTGAGAATACGAGTGTGCGCCTCACACTCCCACACACATACTAGATAATGTAATTTAATATCATTACAAGGTAAAGAAATATTGAGAATCCAAAACCACAGGCAGTAAATTCGTGTAGGTATATGAGAAATGTCAAAATACTGCAGGGAGCAGGAGTTGTTATAAAAATGCAAATATTTGGGGTAGACGGAACCGTGGTCAATATGTGTGAATTTCGCATTAAAATCATTAAAAATACTCAAACGTTATCAAAAACAAAATTTATGACCATGGTGGCGTATGATTGCTATTAATTATTAGGTAATTTTAGAAATTTAACAATAACTTTTTTTCCGGCTATAGATATTTTGAAAATTCAAATGGATTATGGAAATAGACATTAAATGAAGTTAAAAATGAAAACATTGGTGTAATTTAATATCATTACATGATAAAGAAATATTGAAAATCCAAAACCACAGGCAGTAAATTCGTGTAGGTATACGACAAATGTCAAAATACAGCGCAGAGCAATGATTGTAACAAAAATGCAAATATTTGACGACAAAGTAAATAGAACAGTGGTCAATATTTGTAAATTTCGCATTAAAATCATTAAAAATACTCA